AAAGAAATTAATAGGAATTATATTCTTAACAAAAAACCTTATATAGTATGAATAAATCTCAATTTTTTGTGAATCAATTTTTTAGATAACCAGTTTAATCTTGGAATCTGAAAAAATAAGTATGTCAATTAAAACTGGAAAAAAAACTCACATAGTCAGAATGTTGATCAAGACAAATCAGACACAAGAATTCATGTTGGGGTGACACAGTGGATTTGCAATGCTGGCATCCCATACTACAGTGCTGGTTTGAGTCCTGGCTATTCTACTTCCTATCCGGCTTTCTTGTAGGGTACCAGAGAAGGCAGCAAAAGATAACCCAGTACTTGGGTCCCTGCCACCCATGTGGGAGACCTGGATGGAGTTCATAGCTCCTGGCTTCAGTCTGGCCCAACCCTGGCTGCTGCAGTCAGTGGGAAATAAGCTAATGAATGGAATTTCTCTCTTCCTCTCTGTCTCTCCCTTCCCTATGATGCTCTGCCTTTCCAATAAGTAAATGAATCTTTAAAAATAAATAGTTCACATTGTATGATTCTCTATTTGATTTTCAAAACCAGGCCATACTTGTCTATGTGATATGTTATAACAGTGATTATCCTTGGTAACAAATAATTGACCAGAAAGAAACTTGAAGGAGACTTTGGTTACTAAAAATGTTCTGTATTTTGATCTGGGTGGTGTTATATGAGTGTTTACATTCATAAATTCATCAGGCTATACAATTAAGAACACTGCTGTTTATACATTGTATCACCACATAAAAAAATTCCTATAAGCATAAAAGCTGAAAAAACAACCAGTGAGTAAAATTATATTTATCACCAAGGATAAGACTAGAGAGCATGACTTGTTGCAACTTTCCCCTCTAAATACATGGTACTTTGATTTCTGTTTAGAACATCTGAAGTCAAAGCAATTTCAAACTAAAATAGTGTATTGACTATGTTTGTGGAAAAGAGAGTAGATTACTATAAGTGCTTCACCCACTTCTCAAACAACCTGCATTATCCATTTTTAGAATGCTAGACATTAAATTTAATTTCATGTTTTATAGTTTGCTTCCAGGGAACAAATGGGGTAATTTATCCAGTTCAAACACATTTGACTTGAACGAACTATTAATTCTGGCCTACAAATGCACAGCAAGATGTAGCATGTCACAGACAACTGATATACCCTCTTAATCAACAGTTATGACTGTAAATAATGAGGAATGTAATAAAACATGAGTAGTTAGAATCTAGTCTTTTAAAAGCTACATACAAAGATTTACTCCAGAAACTTTAAATATGTGAGAATTTTCTATATTTCCTATAAAGACTCTGAAAAGCCATGGAAGTCAATTTGCACTTTGTTTTCTTTCCCATATATGGATGGTGTTATTCTCCTCTGGTCCTGTCAGACTGGAAATTCTATATTTTCTTGTTTTGTGATTATCCTTATAAATCTTACTGGTATTTGACTTATGCAAGCTCTAATGATATACAATGATATCCCTGTCATCATCATGAACAGAATCAAACCCTTACATTGCTTTAACCCCTATCACCTATACTAATCTTAGGTACTCTTTAAATTTTTAAATTTGATATCACTATTATTATGCTTTATTTAGCCTCTATACCTAAGAATTTGATAGATCAAGTATACAAAATGAGAAAATTACAAAAAAAATTTGCAAGCACAGACATTAACAGGCTTAAGTTACAGCCAAGAAAACAGAAAATAGAAATTCTTTTCAAATGACTACAAAATATTCAGAAAGACAACATGCAAGGCCCAATACTTGGGTTCGAGTCTAAGCTCTGCTCCTGATTCCACTTGCCTGTTAATACTCACTGCAGGAGACAGCAGGTGATAGCCCAAGTGGTTGGTTCCCTGCCCCCAGTGTAGAAGACCAGGACTGAGTTCCCAACTCCTGGTGTCAGCCTGGCCCAGCTCCAAATGTTGAAGGCATCTGCGAAGTTAATCGGCAGATGGGAAATTGCTCTCTGTCTGGCTTTCCATCTCTCTTTCTCTCTCCCTCTGTTTATCTAAATAAATAAATAATTTAAAATACATACACATGTAAATGTTTAGAACTGCATGTTTCTTAAAAGTTTCCTAATTTTCTTCCTCTGAAGAGAAACTCATTTGAAGATGGTATCTTTCTACATCAGGATTAGAAATCACTATCCTATGAATGATAATCACAACACAATTATTTTAATTTTAAAACTGTCAAAAGCTGTAAGTTGGAGGCTGGCATTGTGGCACAGTGTGTAAACCACCATCCTCTGAAGCAGGCATCCCATATGGGCACTGGTTTGCAGTGGCTGCTCTACTTCTGCTTCAGCTCCTGCAATAGCCTGGGAAAAGCAGCGGAAGATGGCCCAAGTGCTTGGGCCCCTGCACCCACGTGGGAGACCCAGAAGAAGCTTTGACTCCTGATTTTGGATTGGCTCAGCTCTGGCCGTTGCTGCCACTTGGGGAGTGAACCAGCAGATGAAAGACCTCTCTCTGTGTCTCTACCTCTCTTTGTATCTCTGCCTTTCAAATGAATAAAATAACTTTTTTGAAAAAGCCTTAAGTTACTCTGGGAGGTTCAAAAAAAAAAAAAAAGAAAGAAACAGATTATTTTCTTGACCTTTATTCAAAAGCCTCCAGTGGAAATGTTTATTTCTAGCCTCCTATCATACGCATAGGAAGTTCAACAGGAGGTTTGTAGTCATATAATGAAAAGGACACAAACAAACCAACTTCTTAGAGACCACTGGATTTTACTTACATTACTCCCCGACACTCCCAGTGTTATAAAAGGTGTCTTCTAAAGATACCACCATTCATCCACGAAATAAACTAATAATTATTTTATTTTAGTTTGCTATCAAATTCAGAACTTGTGGGAAAAAAGACACTATTATCACATACAAAAAAATGAAAAATCATAGATTTTAGATATACTAAATCAAATAAGTACTTTTTGCCTTCAAATAGACATTTCTAATTAGTAATCTTCAAACTGCCAGAGAAGCCAAATTTGATTTCTCTGCGTTACCAAAATTAATCTGTGAACTACTCTAAGGGCCTTAAGGCAACAGCTGCATTGGACATTATTTAAGACACAGTTGCCTCACAACAGATTTTAACACATCTAGTAAGTCTTTTTATTTTAATGAGCCAATATGTTATGCAATAATTGTCTCTCAATGACAAGACCTTAACATTCAGATATTTAGTGTCTATTAATGTTACGAAATTTGAAAGAAGGAAAAACCCTTAGGTACTTTACTCCTTATATTCTATGAGTCATGACCTGGGCAGTGATCCTTCATTAGCGTAATAAAAAGAGGTATTATCTCTCCCTACTCTATACATCTGTAGTACTTATTGTCTCTTTCTCTCACTTGGCACAATGTTTTGAAATGGTAAACATTTTACCTGCATCTCTCTAATGCTAATAAATCCCTTAAGGGCAACAGTGTCACCTTCTACTTATTTGGATCTTCCACACAATACTTCACTAATAGGAGGTGTTTCTTAAATATTAATTGACTCTTATTAATTAACTGAGTAATATCACCAACATATCTTTCCTTCAACACCTCTGGACCATGGCTACCTATACTATACTTTGGAGTGACTACGCTTTTGAATTTTCTGAAAAATTAAAGTGAAGCACACAAAGCAATAAGATCTAAAATAGCCAGATTTTTGTCAAGTGATGTTAGATAAAATGAATACATTTTCTTCAGATTAACCTTAATTCTAATGAAAGATTTTCAAACATCTAGATTATAGCAGACCTAAGTGGGCCCTGATAATGTTTTGTTCTAGTTCCTATCCCTGGATTGGAAAACAACATCAACAACAGCAAAGCTTCATCATCCATTTCAAAATACTCTCCCCTCCTATGTTCTACACTTTCCTGGCCTCAATTAGTGGTTATTTTTACACCTTTCCAAAAGGGTCCCATGGCTCCTGGTCTTTAGCAATTCTATCCTATAAATGGTTCTCAAACTTTTACATGAGAATGTTCTAGAGGGTTTATTAAAACACAATAGCTGGGTTTTACCCTGAGAGTTTCTTATTCAGTAGTTTTTTAGTGTGGACCCGAGTTTGCATTTCTAACAAGTTTTCAGATAATGCTGATTCTGCTGGTCTAGGTACCTCACTTTGAGAACTATCACTTACCTTCAATCCTCACCCATTTATGTCATGTTAATTGTGCCTGATGCACTTATTCAATTCAGTTTAAAGTCTGATTCTTCCCTTACATGAAGCTTGATTCCTTCATCTACTATTCTAAATAAGGTGTTGGTTGTGGTATAATTGGCAAACATCATTTTCATTTGGAGATTTTCATCATGTTATCAAATATTTTTTGGACAACCAAAAAGGTATTCTCCAAAATTTCTAGCTCCATAATATTACAAAACCATTCAGTCTACGTTACCACCTACAGGGAACAGGGAAACTACATATCCAGCCTAAATTATTCCAATTCAGAGTAATAAGGATGCATATATTACTCTCTCGACGGGAGTAATTTCTTACTACTTCTCATCTGGCTGACTTCACTTTTCTTTAAGATCTTGGCTCAGGACACTTCTGCAGGGACTCTTCCTCTCCTTCCCTATAACCACATCAAATCCTCCTATTATGGATGCTCACAAAGTCATTGAACTCCTCCCCAGGAGCCTATGCCATGCTTCCATTTTTATATTTATAGAAATATTTTACTAACAGTTATTTTCCACACAGAACTGTAAGTTCTGAACAGACAGGGAACGTTTCTGGTTTTGATCACCATTATAGTTTCAGTGCCCGGTGAAATATCAGCCGCACCAAAAATAATTCAAATTCATGTAGACAAGATCCGAGCTTTTTCAGTTCTAACAAAGATAACAGAGGTATCAGTTTTTAGGCTCAGCCAATGGCACAGGAACTGACACAAAAATGTGATCTGTGATCCTGTTCCATTTTTCAGCTATCCAATACCCAAACTAAAAACAACTTACCTTTTCTGAATAATTCTTGGAGACTTTCTGCACTTTGATTTAATACAGCCCATATTTCTTCCTCCTGCAGTGGTCCACCCCGAACTTCCAAGGCCTCAGCTAATGACACGTGCATATTACCTGGGAAACAAAGATAGCAGTTTACCTCAACAACTTAACTTCACTTGCAACAGCTCTACAACAATGATAAGACCCTGAGCTCTAAGTTTTCACTAAGGTCTTCAATTTACATGTAATCCTATAGTCTAACTCATAGAGGGTAAAGCAAATAGAGGAAAAACTCCTCTATACAGCCACTTGCCTTACCAGGGATGAAGAACCTTTTTTCTTTCAGGGCCCATTTAGAGCTTTACAACATCATTGTAGGCTAAAACTTCCACAGGTTTATTGAATTTCGAGTCCCAACTGCAGTTGCTTTAGCAGGTCCAGACCAAATGATTTTGCAGTTCTTATAAGGTCCATGGGCCATTCTCCACCCCTGCTAGACCAATGGGGTCAGCCTCTGACACAGAACTGGAGGCTTGTGGTGGTGACCACTTTATGGGAGAAGACAGAAAACCCAGGTACCAAGAGACACCAAAATCAGATAATTTAACCAAAACAGTCAGATTGAACTAGAGGCCTTTCATATTTCACTTGTAGATTTCATCCTATCCATCCCAGTTATAGCCATGGTAGGTAAAAATGGGAACAAAACAAAAGGAATTTCTTCCACTTACTCATTTATTTCTATTGTCTCTAATATATATTCTATAACTACAAATTCTGTACTACATGAAAGTATTTCTAGAGCCAGCTTTGCTGTCAATTTATCATACACACCCAAGAAACTCATTTCACTTCTGAATCTCAATTTTCCATTTGTGACATGGGAATAATAACAATATAAATGCCATTTTGAGATGATTTTACAAGGAAAGACATCACACAGGAATCTGCTTTTAATCTATCAGTTTCTATAGAAACTGAATTAATAAAAATATCAGAAAAGTATCTCTGTGGTAACATTTCTGTAGGGTCAACATTTTCCAATGACATTCAATTAAGTAGATGATATATGGATAAAATTTAAGATTTCTGAGGGGCGCAATAATCTTATTTTTATTTTTGGAAGGGGAAAATGCAGCTAGTCAAAATCCTCCTACATAGATTTTCTTAAATTGATGCACCTTGAAAAAAAAAATTGTTCTCTATAGTAATTGCTGAGATTTCTAACCCAGACCAAACCAATATAAGCACAATGTACAATGCTTACTTATTGGTAGGCAGCAGATGTGTCAGGAAAAGAAGTTAGAGGGAAATGAAAATGCTGAACACTTATTTTCCGTGATTTAGCCTCTTATTAAATTTTTAAAAATGTATAAAAAAATCTGCTTTATAGAAAAGTTGACTTTGGGGGCTGGTGCTGTGGCACAGTGGGTTAAAGCCCTGGCCTGAGGCACCAACATCCCATGTGGGCACCGGTTCTAGTCCCGGTTGCTCCTCTTCCGATGCAGCTCTCTGCTATGGCCTGGGAAAGCAGTAGAGGATGGCCCAAGTCCTTGAGCCCCTGCACCCATGTAGGAGACCTAGAAGAAGCTCCTGGCTCCTGGCTTCGGATCGGCACAGCTCAGGCCATTGCGGCCATCTGGGGAGTGAACCATCAAATGGAAGACCTCTCTCTCTGTCTCTACCTCTCCCTATAACTCTGTCTTTCAAGTAAATAAAATAATAATAATAAAAAGTTGACTTTGTTTATTTAACCAACAAGAAAACCTAATACTTTTAATAGGATTTACAATTATGATAGTTAATCCAGACTGAAAAAAGGAAATTCTAGCTAAGAGAGGCCAAACCTCATCCTTTCACTTGATTTTTCAAATGTTTACCTTAACATTTTACGCTTAAAGTCTGCCTCTGAGGGGTGTTTATATGCACCACATAGCAGTTAAAAGGGAAGACAGGAGATATTACTTAAAAAAACAAGATGGTTTTTAATAAGCTTGCAAGCATTAAGTGAGATTATTTATTCAGACTCCTCACTACACCAACAGTCTTTAGTTCTTATGTGCTTTATTATATGACAGCACATTCATTCAAGGAAAGGTCAAATTTCTAGAGTTGTGAATTATTATCTCCTACGTAACGTATGTTAATAAACTGGACAATTCATCAGAGGCATCAAGATAGTATTAGCAATCAGATATTGACATGATTCGTAAGAAAGACTACCCTGTAGCAAATTTCCAGAGCAGGTCTGAGAACCGGTTAGGTAGCTCTAAAGCCTACGCACTGGACATAAATAGTGAAGAGAAGATTGCACAAGAGATTTGTGGTGATCTTCATGTCTCCTACAAAGTAGGATGGTGGGGAAGGTGCTTTCCTTCCACCTGAAGCCTGTTATAGCTTCAAGCAGACCCTTGGAGTGCTTGATAGTGTTCTCTGGAGTTAGGGGTGCAGAGGGACTGATGTCTAATACACACTTCAGGAATCTATAACCATTGGCTATCACATAAGGTAGCAGCAAGAGAGAGACAGAGTGGGCACACGAGAGAGGATGCATGCTGTATCAGGAGACAGATCTACTTCCATAGGTGAGGGAAAGACAGAGGCAGGAAGCAGGCACACAGAAGGCCAGCCCAGATCTATATAGAATCCTACCCAAAGGACGAAAATGTCTCAAACTCACATAGTGGTGATAATGGTTGAAAACAACTCTGTACACCCAGGGAAGGTATGATTTAAGTGGATGAACTGTATGATATGTGGCATTGACCTCAAAAAACTGTTTTTAAAAATCTTTCCCACAATACCACTTGGAGTACCCAGAGCACCACCAAGAAAGAATGAGGAAGTTATAAGAGGTGGGGGGTTGGGGAGAAAGAGGAGGAGGAAAAACCGGAATTGGACTTATTACTACTATGGAATGGCTGAGAGAAAAGCAGACCGAGGATCAGAAGGGTTAGGGAGGATTGGCTGACTGCGGAACCATTTTCTGAAGTGCAGCAGGTATAGTTCTAGTGGTGGACTCTGAAAAACCCAAAAATCTACACGTCATAAAAAGGGTCATACTTAAACACATATAAAGTTCAAAATGAGTAAAACCATTTTACAAAAGGAATCAGGTTAAAAAAAATCTGTTTGCCTTTTTACCTCTTTTCTAAATATAGTACTAGATAATGTGGGTAACAGATATATGCCTGGCATTATTTTATTACCACAAAGGTTCTACTTTACAAAAAAAACCCATATTGTTTACTTAAATTTTCTTGAAAGTTAAAGGCTACATGACAACTAGAAAGTTTTTGCAAAGAATTTCACAGAGAAATTACTTATGCTATAATCATTATAACATTTTGGCTAACATGGTTATTACTGACATGACCTCAAAACTGTGTCTACAGTCAGACCATGCCACATGCCATTCTAACACAAGTCATTTTAATTGTGGCACTCACAGATGGAAAGCACTTAAAAGTGATTTAGAACAGAATAAAGTAGTACACAGATTAACTGAATCCAATCAAGCAACAGCATAACCTGACTGGAGGGTAGACTAATAAGGAATTTTAACTTAAGTCTAAAGAAATAGGATGACTTGTTCAAGTCATCCTTCAAGTCATCAACTCATCAACTTGTTCCAAGAACTAAGCAGCATAAAGACACTTAGAAAAATACATACAACTCTGTGCATGCCAGTAGTTTTGAGCAAGGATCCACTCAGCATGCTGGCTAAGGACTTCTTTGGTCATTAAGAGAATACAGTGTGTTGAGAAAGCAAGCCCACAATACTGTAAGCATCTTTTTCTTTTTTAATTAATTTGAGAGGGAGCAAGAAGAGACAAAAAATGAACACCTTGCCACTACTTCAATGTCCAAATGTCCACAAAAGTCCCTGTGCCAGGGCCAAAGCTGAGAGCTAGGAATTCAATCCAGGTATTCCACATGGGTACAGGAACCCAATCACTTGAGCCATTCACCCATTAACTCCCAGAGTCTGCATTAGCAGGAAGCTGGGGTCAAGAGCAGTGCTGGGCATCAAACCCAGGCACTCCGATATGGGACACAGGTATCTTAATCAATAGGGTAAACATCCAACCTTGCAAGCATCTTTTAACCCAGGAACAGTCACAATTAGAAATATATAAAACTTTGAGACACAAGCCCATACATTAGTAATTTTTAAAAGTAAAAAAATCTGTGTCTACATAGTGTTTTAGCTAAGAGTAGGAAATCAGTTACAATAACAGATTAGCCTTGTAATTGCAACTTTAAATAATGGAATTGAGAAAATGGTTGAGATTTATACTTTTAAATGTACAAAACACCTCTGGAACATATAAGAAAGCTTAAAGTCTTGCCATACATAAACCTTATTATGTACATCTTCATCCATTAGAAAATTGGTTTAGGGGGCTGGCATTGTGGTGTAGCAGGTTAAGCCACTGCCTGCAGCACCAGATGCCAGTTCAAGTCTCAGCTGCTCTACTTCCTATCCAGCTCCCTGTTAATGTGCCTGGGAAAGGCAGCAGAAGATGGTTCAGGTGCTGGGGCCCTGCACCCATGTGGAAAACTGGAAGAAGCTTCTGGCTCCTGGTTTCGGCTTGGCCTACCCTCTGCCGATGCAACCATTTGGAGAGTGAACCAATGGATGAAGATCTCTCTCTCTCTCTCTCTCTCCTTTCTCTATAACTCTGCCTTTCCAGTAAACAAAATAAATTTTTAAAAGTTTTTTATTTGAATGGCAGAGTTATAGAGAAAGGAGAGAGAGAGAGAGAGAGAGAGAGAGAGAGAGAGAGAGAGAATCTTCCATCCAGTGGTTCACTCCCAAAATAGCTGCAATGGCTGGTGCTGGGCCAGGCTGCAGCCAGGAGCCCAGAGCTTCGTCTGGGTCTCCCATGTGGGTGCAAGCACTTGGGTCACATTCCACCACTTTCCCAGGGACATTAGCAGGGAGCTAGACGGGAAGTAGAGCAGCCGGGTCTTGAACCAGAGCCCATATGGAATGCTGGCATCATAGGCAGAGGCTTAACCTGCTGCACTGCAATGCCAGCCTCGTAAAATAAATCTTAAAATGAAAACAAAACCCAAACAAGCTTATTTTGGTACTTGGTAGGGTTTCCTTTCAGTCAGATATATGA